CAAAGTCCTTCCAAGCTATGGTTTCCTGCCCATCCAAAGTCTGTTCAGGAAAAAGTCGGGAAGGATTTCAGCTTTTGGTTAAATCTCAAAGCAGCCTACTGCCTCCAGCCTTCAGAACATTCAAATGTAGAAGCATAAGCACCTTACAGGGAACACGGAAAGAGAGATGAGGTCATTATAGAGACACTGCCATGGACTGAACTATTTCCTTCCCAAATTCCTGTGTTGAAGCCCTAACCCCATACGACTGTATCTAGAAACAGGACCTATAAGGAAGTAGTTAAAGTTAATTGAGGTCATAAGGGTAGGCCCCTGATCCAATAGGATTAGTGTCCTTATAAGAAGAGACACAGAGTGCTCTCTCTTCCTCTGCTATGGGAGGACATGGTAAGAGGGCAGCTGTCTGCAAACCAGGAAGAAAGACTTCACGGGGAACTGAATTAACCAGCAACTCGAGCCTGTCTTCCAAGCCTCCTTAACAGAGACAAAACGAAGTTCTGTTGTTTAAGCTTCCTTATACTTATATCCTTAGAATATACTGTGGTATACTGTTTGCAGCCCAAGCTGACTAATGCAGATGTAATGATGAGTGGTCTAGGAGCAATTCTCTCTCAGTACTCACTCCAGCTGCTGGACTCTGGCCATCCCGGATCCACAGATAGGACACAATTCCTTGGTCATCAGTAGACCTTGAACCATCCAAAGTAACGGAATTATTGGGAAGCAGAAGAACATGTCTGCCACCAGCCCGGGCTCTGGGAGGACTATTATTTTCTAAGTCAAATATAGCAAAAATGAAAGCAAAGAGATTGATTTAAAACACTGGTGATGGAAAAAGTGTGTCATAAAACATCCACAACTCTTCTACCTTGCAGATACAGTATGTAGAATTAAAATATCCAAAAAGGCTTTTTTTTTTTCCCAAATGCATATAAGATACAGACTTCCTTAAAACTCCATTTGTACTTAGCTAGCTATAATTTGGGATGAAAAAGGTAAAGCAGGTGGCAAGCTATACATTGGGAATTTTTCTAATATTGTTACAATTTTTCTGTCCTTGAAAAAAAGGAACAATGATTTTACCAACATTTAGGGTGCTGAAAGTGGCAACATTTTGGTTTAAAATATATTCTGGGTTATTTTGTACTGGTCCACACTATCTGGCCAGAAATATTTCCACTTCAAGTACTATTGCCAAATATTGACTCCCTAAGATTTAAAAAAAAAAAAAAAAAAAAAAGACTTGAGTGAAAAGTAGGCTGGGTGCAGTGGCTCACACCTGTAATCCCAGCACTTTAGGAGGCCAGAGCAGGAGAATCACTTGAGACCAGGAGTTTGAGACCAGCCTGGGCAACATAACAAGTCTCCATCTCTATGAAAAATTAAAATAATAACAATGATAATTAGGCCCTCACTTCTCTGACTAGGTATTAAATATAAATGAGGCAATGGCCAGGCATGGTGGCTCATAACTGTAATCCCAACACTTGGAGATGCTAAGGCAGGATGCGTGCTTGAAGCCAGAAGTTCAAGACCAGCCTGGGTAGCAAGACCTGTCTCCACACACAAAAACATTAAAAATCAGCTGGGCATGGTGACACACACCTGTAGTTCCAGCTACTCAGGAAGCTGAGATGAGAGAATCACTTGAGGTCAGGAGTTTGAGGCTGCAATGAGCTTTGATCGCAGCACTGCACTCCAGTCTGAGCAACAGAGTGGGACCCTGTGTCTATTTTAAAAATTAAAAAATGAGGCAACGTAAAAGCCATTTCTGACATAACAGCTTCAGAAAAGAGGGGCCAGGGAGCCTTAACAAGACTACAGTACAGTAGGGAGATCATAATAAGACACAGCCTCAATTTGGAGATGAGGCTGCTGTGAGGCAAATCCTGCTTGTCCAGATAGGGCTCTGGGACCCAGCCTGATCCCTCCCAATTTCCCCTTAGAAACAAGTCAAGATGCCTGTTCAGATTATTCTCTCTACTTTAATGCATGGTTGAAAATCTCAACAATAAAATCTTTTTAAAAATGCAAATCTATACGACTTTGCTGTTAAAGTTGCTTCAGCTTCTCCCAGTTGCCCAGAGAATAAAGTCCAAACCCCTAGGCATAGCCCAGGTACATATAACCCTCCACGGCAGGGCCTGTGCCTCAGGCTGCAGCCACTGTCCCAGCGTCCCACACTCTTGCCATTCTGCAATGCGTGAACCTTTCCATCCAGCCAGGCTCTTATACTCCTCTGCACTTCAACACGTAGTAATCATCCCTTCACTAATTCATTCAATATCTCTGATTTGCCATGAGTCTAGCACTCTGCTATACTGAGGATACAGAGATGTCTGAAGCAAAGGCACTCAGGCAGTTCACAGTCAAATGGGAAGACAGACAAGGAGACAAGTACCTCAAATGGTATTGCACTAGTCTAGACCACAGATTTCACATTAAGAAACGATACGGAGTTTGAATCTCTTTTCTTGAATTTCCAAGCAATAAAGAAAAAAAAATGGTGTCATTTGGACATGGGTCTTTCATTAGTAGCAGTCACAGAAGAGTGAAGTCATTAGAAGATACGCTCCACAAACAAAAGGAAATGTTTCCTTGCAGAGGGCGACTGGGAAACAGCTAACATGAATAGAAGAAAGTTGGCTTTTTTTCTGCCAGGCAGGGTTTGGCATCTGCTGTGAACAAATCAGCAAATACCAACATCTCTGAGCAGTCACGGCCTGGCTGAGGGTCCTGCAGACTCGAAAGCAGAGCAGGCCCAGCCCTGTCCACCTCAGACCCACTCACCCTTCTTCACAGCCACAGTGAGGGTGGACGTGCTGCTCAGTCCCTGCTGGTCTTTCACGGTCAAACGGAAGCGGTAGGTCCCCACCTGAAGACCAGTCACAGTGGCTATTGCTTTGTCAATATTTTCCATCTCCACTGCACTGGGGCCTCTATAAAACATGCAAGCGGTTAACATAAGGGCGGGGGCATGGGATTCTGAATATGACAGGCATGCGATTTGTGCTCTTATAAATGTTTTGTTCCAGCTATAAAATATACCATTTAGAGAATTCTAAGAAAACTCCATTCACCTGTACTCTCTAGTTCAGTGTAAGAGTCGTAAGTGAAAACCTATTTCAGGCAGAATCTGCTGGATTACTGGGAAGAGAATATTTGTTCTCAATTTCTTTAAGTCAAGCTGCCAGTGAAATGATCTCTCCTTGGAAAATGAGCCTTAGAAACGACTCCCGTTTCTTCTTTGAATAAAATTAGGTGAAATCCTCGTCTATCTTTAGGGAGACCATGGAGGAGGAGGGAGTAAGCCAGATAAGCCCTCCCCTAAGAGATAAATCACACTATAGTCATTAAGATCAGGGGCTTGTCAAAAATACCTCAGTTTGGGTCCAAGCTCTTTCTCTTACTATCTGGGCAACCTTAGTCTGTGTGGTCTCAATAGTGTCTACAAGCCTCAGTTTCTCCAACTTTAAATAGGAATCATATTCTTATTTATCTCTTACAAACTGATACCGGGTTCTATGAGACAGAGCATGTAAAGCTCAGAAATGTTAGATGATATGGATTGCCTGTTACACTCTGCACTTCTGGTGTCTACAGTCACTGCAGAATGGGTTGAGTGTAGACAGGATCACACACAGGTTTCCCTGAACCTCTTCTGTCATGAGCTCGCCTCACACCAAGACAGCCCTGTTCACCTGCCCTGAGCTCTACCTCCCTCTACTGTCAATGATGTCCATCCACACTTGATGTACTCTTCAATCAATAACACCCAGCCACTTCTAGAAACGTGCTTAAATCCCAACTCCTCAAAATGCTCAAGCTGACTGTTTACTACAGATCCTCCAGAGAAGGGATAATATGAGCATTCAGCATGGGCATGAACCTAGCTCAGTGGCGAGACAGACTACCTGACGTGCTCCCAGTGGTAGAAGACAATGCCGTGGTCATCACTGCTGCTGCTCCCATCCAGGGTAGCACTTTCCACTGGGAAGATCAGCTCTTGATCAGGGCCGGCCACAGCCACTGGTGGTCTGTTATTTTCTGGAATTACAGAAACAGTGTGAAAAAGTATTATCTCCTTGCATTAAGTCTGCAATCCTGTGATTTCTTGATTTAAGTACATTACTCATCTTCAGACCAGGCAGCCACTAGACTATGCAGCATCCTTTGGAATCCTGGAGTGAAGCACTGCAGCCTCCTTAGCTGATCCAGGAGTTGAACAGTCCAAGTCCAAGACTGCCGTTTCAGGCAGCCAAGAAACACTGTCTCTAATAGACACATCTTTGGTTTCTTTGGTTTAAAAAATCTTCAGTCAGCCGGGCGCAGTGGCTTATGCCTGTAATCCCAGCACTTTGGGAGGCCGAGGCGGGCGGATCACAAGGTCAGGAGATCGAGACCATTCTGGCTAACACGGTGAAACCCCATCTCTACTAACAATACAAAAAATTAGCTGGGCGTGGTGGCATGTGCCTGTAGTCCCAGCTACTTGGGAGGTTGAGACAGGAGAATGGTGTGAACCCAAGAGGTGGAGCTTGCAGTGAGCCAAGATCACGCCACTGCACTCCAGCCTGGAGTGCAGACTCCGCATCAAAAAAAAAAAAAAAAAATCTTCAGTCATAGGGTGAAAGAGAAGGAAAGGAAAGAAGGGTAGAAGGAGAGAGGGAAGAAGGGTGGGGGGAGGAAGGAAAGAGAGAGGAAGGAAAGAAGGAAGGGAGGGAAGGGAGGGAGGAAGAGAGACGGGGGGAAGGGACATGACAGAGAAGGAAGGAGGGGACATCCATGTGAAGAGACCTGCTTTATCAGGTAGGGCTTACTTCCTTTTGTCTCTGTAGCCTCAGTGCTAACACAGTGCCTGGTAAACAGTAAATGTTCAAAATATTTTAAATTAAATGTTGAAAGAAAAGTAAAACATATAAAGTATTGCTGATATTGGCCAGGCGTGGTAGCTCACACCTGTAATCCCAGCACTTTGGGAGGCCAAGGGTGAGAGGATTGCTTGAACCCAGGAGTTGGAGACTAGCCTGGGCAACAGAGTGAGACCCAGTCTCACACACACACAAAAAAAGTCACATAGTCAAAAGCTGTAGCAGCCATTACCCAGTGTTTGCACCACGCCACAGCCCCCATGATCCTACTCACTACATAACAGGAGTTTCCCTTTGCCGTAGGATAGAGTACTTGGGTGACCATACATTTACAAAGCCCTTTAGGATGGAGTCCTGGGCTCTCTTGGGGTCATCTACTGTCATTCCAGTCCCTGCCCACCCTCCCCACCACCTCCCATTCCCACATCCCTACCTCTTGTTCTCTCTCTCCAATCACAGTAATTCCTTTTAAATCTTTGAATGTACCAGACTCTCTTCCTTGGCCCTCATGCATACTGTTCCCTCTACCTAAGAACTCTTCCTCTTCCCCTGTGCTGCCCACCCCTCCCCTTCTTCACCGACTAACTGTGACTTGTGCTTCAATCCTGAGCTCACGTACGAGCTCTTTGCAGATGCGTCACACCCAGGCGAGTGCTCTTTCTTTTGGGCCCTGTAGCACCCTGTAGTTTTTTTAGTAAAGCACCAATCACAGAGTTTTATGTGAACTTCTCCATAAGCCCTACAAGGGCAGAGATCAAGTCTATCTTGTTTAATTCCACATCCCAGAGTCTAACTAATAGCACTTTTTATGTATTAGTGGCATAAATAAATAAGTTGTCTATAGGTTGAGTATAATCTCATTGCCAGGAACTGGATAGAGGTTCTGGGACTAACAAGCCTCTTCTAGAAAAGTTCTAAGGCAAAGGCCATTATCGAACAAAGGTATGATAACCTTTAAGGTTATTTAACTCAGGAGGTAGGCAGAGCCCTGGGTTTTCATGAAACTATTAATGAACAGTGACACTGAACTGGAACATGTTCCCCAATCTCTGGCTACATCTGAGTGTCAAGCCACACATAAGAACCAGCCCCTTCGAGGTCGTCTGGAGTTCTCTACGGCAGAGTGGGGCACGTGTGGAAGCATCCACATGGCGAATTGGAACCCATAAGCAGTGCTGTGGATGGCTCTCATTTCATCCTTCATGCCATAGTTTACAGACAGTCAAGGCAAGATTTAGAACTGCAAAATGAAATTAGTTTTATATGGAGCTTCGGCACCCACAAGCCGGTACCACCAATGTGGCATCTCCAAACCCCAGAAGCCCAGCTATCATTTCTGCTTTACTCTCTGAGGCCAGATCTCTTTCTCCTCCACCTACCAGGCTGGACGATCACAGTCACCACAGCAGTGGACTGCTGCCGTGAAGAATCTGTCACCTTCAGCTGAAATGTATAATCTCCTTCCTGCATTGCAGATAAATGAAGGTACGGTGTCTGCACGCCCTAAGTAATAGCAAAGACAAAAATAAAAACAAAACAAAAAGTAAAGAAGCACAAGTAAATAGTATGACAGAATGAAAAACTAACAATTTTACTTAATACAGAGACCTTGCTCAAAAAGAAATGTGTTTGGTCAGGCACGGTGGTTCACATCTGTAATCCCAGCACTTTAGAAGGCCAAGGCAGGCGGATCACTTGAGGTCAGGAGTTTGAGACCAGCCTGGTCAACATGGTGGAACCCTGTCTCTACTAAAAATATGTTTTAAAAATCAGCCGGGTGTGATGGCGGGCACCTGTAATCCCAGCTACTTAAGAGGCTGAGGCACAAGGATCGCTTGGAACCGGGGAGGGGGAGGTTGCAGTGGGCTGAGATTGCACCACTGCACTGCAGCCTGGGTGACAGAAAAAAGAAAAAAATATGTTGGTCCCCAAGAACGTGTGACCTAAACTTTACTGTGCATCCTCATACACTATTGAAGGAGTGTAAACTAGTATAGCCTTTTTGGAAGCCAATCTGAAAACAGCTATTAAAATATTAAATAAGCACATACTACAACCCAGTAATTCGACTTCTTAGTATCTACACCGGAGAAATGCACAAGGAGACTCGTCCAGGGATGTTAACTGAAGCACAGTCTATCACAGCAAAACATGGAAACAATCTACACATCCATCAACAGGAGGATGGTCAAACACACTACGATATACTATGGAATACTAGTTTAAAAGAAAGAAGTTTAAAATCATGAGGCAGGTTTATAAATACTAAAATGGAAAATGTCAAAGACGTATTAAGAAAAAAAAAAGAAAGTTGGGTCGCATTCAAAAGCAAACAGTAAAATATTGTTTATAGAAATCCACACAAAAAAGAAACTTGTGGAACCATGCATACAATGTGAAAGGTATTGCTACATGTACATACACACACTTACACACACACATGGAAAAGATTCTGGAAGTATACACATTAAACTGATAAAAGTAATTATTTCCAGTAAGGACACTTGGATGGCAGTGGTGATCAATTTATTTGAAATTATTTTAGCAGAATTTATTTGAGCTTTTTTTTTTTTTTTTTTTTTACCACAAGAGGCAATTCATGTATTACTTTTGTAATCAAAAATAATTTTTTGGCCGGGTGCAGTGGCTCATGCCTGTAATCCCAGCACTTTGGGAGGCTGCGGCAGGTGGATCATGAAGTCAGGAGTTCAAGACCAGTCTGGCCCAAATGGTGAAACGCTATCTCTACTAAAAATACAAAAATTAGCTGGGCGTGGTGGCAGGCACCTGTAATCCCAGCAACTCGGGAGGCTGAGGCAGAAGAATCGCTTGAACTTGGGGGGTGGAGGTTAAAGTGAGCCAAGATCACGCCACTGCACTCCAGCCTGGACCACAGAGTGAGACTCCATCTCAAAAAAGAAAAAATAAATAATAATAATAATTTTTTTGCCGAGTGTGGTGGCTCACGCCTATGATACTAGCACTTAGGGAGGCCAAGGCGAAAGGATCGCTTAAGCCCAGGAGTTCAAGATCAGCCTGGGCAACATGGTAAAACCCCATTTTCACAAAAAAATACAAAAATTAGCCAGGTGTGGTGGTGTGTGCCTGTGGTCCTGGCTACCCGGGAGGCTGAGATAGGAGGATCTTTGGAGCCCAGGAGATCAAGGCTACGGTGGGCTATAGTCACATCACTGCACTCCAGCCTGGGTGACAGAGTGAGATCCTGTTTCAAAATAAATAAATAATATAATTTTGTAAAACTCTAAGTCAACCCAAGTTTTTACAAAGTCATTTTTTCAACTGAGTATGCAATAGCTACCTTTGGTGACCCCAGGTTAATACCCTTTCTTTTTTGTTGTTGGTAATAGTTTCAATTATTGCTTATGTTTGAAGTGCATAGCATTATGAAAAGGATTTTTAAGTCTTATTACAATTTATTTACTTTTATAGATCCCAAGATTGTCTAAAGATAAATGTATCTGTGTGCATTTTTTAAGGTTTTAATGGAAAATTTGAAAAGAAAGTTGATACAAGATCAATTGGGTTACCAGGTGAACTTCTGAAATTTGAAATGCATACTTTTAAGAACTTTTGGAAAAAAAAAAATACTTTTCCCTACTTTGACTAAATAAGGCAAAGCACCTTTCTCTGAAAAGTTCAACAGGGAAAGTATAATTTCCCAGGAGTTGCCTCTAAATTCATCAGGTACGTAAGTGCTTCTGCACACAACGTAAGGGAATGTCGTGGTAAATGGGAACTGAGCAGACTACTGTGTCTCACCGATGCTCCCAAGGCAGCCGCATGTTTCAGGCAATTGCAAAGGTTTCACTTCCTTCCCCAGTAAGAACACAGCCTCAGCGGGCTGCTTGGTACAATTTTCAGACAAATATAAAACGGTCTGATTCACAGACCTCATCTTTGTGATTGCCCCAGTTAATACCCCTTTGGACATCTTAATCAATCAAGCATAAGGCAATAAGGTTGCCACTATGGATATTATTTGGGGAAAGAAGAGAGAGGGTGTCTGGCAACTGGGCTGGTGTGTAGAGGCAAGGCTCACAGTGTGGCCCAGCCCTCAGACACTTTGGATACATGTCCAGTATGCATGGATGAATTTTGGAGTATTAGCTTTGGATGCATAATTCCTAGTAAGTAAAAGAAAATTAGGAAGATTCTTTTAACGGTGAAAATACAAAATATCCCATCCTCCTGTTTTGTATGCAACCCACCTCTGAATCAGAATTCTTAACATAACAGAACATAGCACTTGCTACAACCCCTAGGTAGAGATGGACACCACCAAGAGGGTTCTCCAAGGATATCCAGACAACTCATGGCTCTTTCAAGTTCCATAAATCTACCCAGTTACTTTTAACTCCTCATAATTGCAAGGCATGCCCCAGGAACACCAGAAAGTAAAGCAGGTAAGTTTCCATGGAATATCTGATTTTATCTTAAATACTAATGAGAAATGTATCTTGGACTGGTGAGGCGAAATTTGAAGGAGAAAAGGAAGATGGAAATGTAAGGTCCTATCTTTCTTTTTTTTCATGAAACTCTCAAAAAAATGACATAACTTCAAAAACATTAAGCTGGTTAGCAACAAAAACAAATAGCTTTGCCAATCACAAAAAAGAAGAATAAGCAAACACGTCTCTACTAAAAATATTTTTTAAAAATCAGCCAGGCATGATGGCGAGCACCTGTAAGTTTCCATGGAAACTTCACACACAACAGAAGTTTCAAGATTATTATGTTGTTAGACAAACATACTTAAAAGATTTGAACAAATCAAAAGGTAGATACAAACAAGACCCTAGAAAGCGACCAGTGGATGTAGACAAGATAACATGGAGTTTCTATAAACAGGAGAAACAGAATAACAAAACAAATTCTGATAATAAGGTTTAGATTAGATTATTTCTAAGGTTTCTCCCAATACGAAAATACTTCTCTAACAGATGTGAGACTTTTCCCAAACTGATCTCAAGATCTAATTTTCAACACAGAGCCAATTGGTTGCTGTCCTGTGCTATCTAAGTGGGAGAGGGGAAAGGATGTAAACTTGGAAGATTTGTGAGCTTCCGTCCTTTTCCAATAGTTGTAGTATATCAGGTAACTTTACAAAATAAAGTATCTAAATTGAACTGCCTACCCCAACCAATAGCAGATAGGTAGGTAGGTAGGTAGGTAGGTAGGTAGACACAGACAGACAGACAAAAGTCTGAAGGCAGGACGGAGAACTTGCCTGCATGGCCACATGTTTGCCCTCACTCCCAGGACCCAGGGACCACTCATAGAGGACAATCTGGTGATCGTCACTGCTCTGGTTTCCATTCAAAGTGATGGAGTTTTGAGGCAAAGTTATAGTGTGATTTGGTCCAGCGTTAGCGACCGGTGGGTAGTCCACAGCATTGTTGACTATTAGGGCTGCAGTTGTAGAGTTAGTGGCTCCGTCCGAGTCTGTAACAGTCAACCTACAAAAAGGAGAAGAAACCATAGTTGGAAGAATATGCCAGGCTGGGCGCAGTGGCTCACGCCTGTAATCCCAACACTGTGGGAAGCTGAGGTGGGAGGATTGCTTAAGCCCAGGAGTTCTGAGACCAGCTGGGCCATAGAGTGAGACTCTGTCTCTATTTAACAACAACAACAACAAAAAAATTAGCCAGTGTGGGCACGCATACCTGTAGTTCTAGCTACTTGGGAGGCTGAGGTGGGAGGATCACTTGAGCCCGGGGAGGTTAAGGCTGCAGTGAGCCAATATTGCTCCACTGCGCTGCAGCTCAGGCAGCAGAGCAACAGACCGTCTCAAAAAACAACAACAAAAAAGAAACAGACAAAAAAATAATACGCCAAATCTCAATTAACTTAGGTCAATTTAGTCTGCTCATGAAACAGTTCTCAGAAGAACTCGGAACAGTTAAAAACAGAAATTTAAGAATGAAGCAAAGATAAACACAGACTTGATATTTTTGTTTGATTTTGTTGCTGTTGAGTATTTTAGTGTTAGTTCATAACATATCGATGTCAGAGTTTCACCTTCATGGATTTCTGATTAGCTTTTGAGATGCTGGGTGAAGAAACCATCTTCACCCAACATAGATGCCACTCTCTAATAACGGAGACTAAAAATGGATCAGGTTTAAGTTCTGCCTTCAGGTTGAGCATGCAGAGACAGCAAATCACTCCTGAATTTTCAGCTACAAAGCTTTTTAATTTTTAATCCTTTTCTAGAGGACTTATAATTATGTTTTCCGGATACTCCTTGCAAAGCGGTGTTAGGATTAAGCACTTTCAAATGCGAACCAGTGCTCAACCTCTGTAAACAAAAAAGAGAAGTGCATTAACCTTCCTGCACTAAACTGATTCCTAATGTGGTCCTGAGGACAGTGAATTCACAAATGGGTCACTTCATCCTTCTACGTTAAAGATGGTGGTGGGAGCAGTGATGAGTGCTAAATAATATCAATAGGCATATGACAATGAAGCTGTGGCACGAACACAGGCCTTCCTTGCAGGGAAAGCACATGTAGGGGGCACCTGTGCATTCTGAGCTTCCTTCCACACTATCCCTCATACTCCACACAACCAAGCTCCAACTTCCACTTCTGGCTCTGACAGCAAACCAAACACCTAAAGTCCTTCCTTCTCAACCAGGCTGAGTCAGGACACTTTCTGGGCCCATTAGGAAATTTCTTCCTGGGTTAGGAGCAGTAACCTGTTCCAATCAGATGGTAAAGCATAATTAAATACAAACGAATTAAATGAATCTCATAAAGTACCTTTCACTATATATAAATTTTACTCCAATGAATAAATAAAGTTCATATTAATTGATGAGGGTATCAGAGTCTCCAGCAGCATCGAACCAAAACCCCCATGAAAGCCAAATCTCTTTTGATCAAAATAAGCAGTGCAGTGTTTTATGTGCATTGATTTAAAGAAACAGTAAAAATGTAAGTAGCAGGCAGCACAATAAAGGCAGGGACCCACTTGCCTGAAACTATAGTTACCAGGATCAAGGTTAGACAAGCGTAAGACGGGAGAGTCAACTGAAGTCTTCTTTTCTATGAAGGGCCCGTTAATTTCTTCCCAGTGATAACTCACTATTTCAGTATCATCTGTACTTTCTAAAAGATTAAGAAATAGAGACAAGAATGAAATACAAGAAGAGGAAGACATAAGTTTTATACTTTAATTACTGCATAAATTCATTTTTATATGAAATTATGTACTTGCCTAGATCTCAATGGATATATATTGTATTAGAAGAAGGTTCTTTCCTACTCCTGAAATTATATCACTATTTTTCTCCTGGATTTCCACCAGATTTGACTGAGGCTGTTCCCACTCAGTTGAATATTTACGAAGCACAGTGACAGAGGCTTTTGCTTTTAAAAAAACAGGAGTCAACAAAACGCAGCACATGGAAATGCTACTGCTGCTCACCTCAGCTACAGCACGCGAGCTCCTACTGATCATTTTAAATAGGCACCTGAGCTGACAGGTTCAAAGAGACTTGAGTTGCTTTTCTATAACTTATAAAACATCTTTTACTACCTTAATTATTAAGGGGTAAATCCAGAGAAAGGTCACATCCTTACATGAAAATTTTCCATTTCTACTTTAAAAGAGAACAAACAAAATGTGCCATGCAGATTCACAGAAATTTAGACCTGGAAAGGGGCTAGTTTCATCTAATTCATTTAAGGAAAGAACAAGTTCATGTGACAGATTAATAATCATGAACAGTTGCCTGTAAATAAGCCACACTGAATTAGAGGAATCAAAATGTGACCTATTTGTTCATGTAAATATTTCCATTTAAAATATGCTTTGTTTTCATGTTGCTAAGATGGAAATGTGGACTACTTTTGAATAGATGCAAATGGTCATGTCAATGTGATCTCTGTAAATTTGCAGGCTTGCAAGATAGAGCAGCTTTAATGGCTAACAAGTATTCTTCTCCCAACAACCAAGGCAACCGTTCTTCACTCTCTAAAGGATTTGGTATTAGCTTTGTGATTAAATGTACATAAAATGCAATTACCTGGTACACTGATAAGGTTGAACCTAGTCAAACACAGGATGTTTTCAACCAATTCTTATTTACATGGACACCTGTAGTTACACAGGGGTCCCTTCCACATATACTCCAATAGAAGAAATGATCTCTGAACAAATTTACAAAACCACCACGCTCCCTCACTGAAGATATCCCTTCTAAGAATTCTTAAAAGCGATTTCCCATCTGGTGGGGGGCACCTCCCCTCCCAAGTCAGGTCACGGGAGCGCCTCTCTGGCATCTAAATAATTCTTTTAAAATACTCTTCTAAAATAAGTTATATATATAAAGATATATACATATATGAAGTGATTTTCCAACTACTCTCCATACATACCACACCAGAAGGAGATTCTTCAATAATTGCTAAAATTTCCTATCAAACGGCCAGGCTCTAAAGAACTTTCTAATAAAACAGACAAAAGGTGAAGGGAAAATAAGCACAGGATAGAGGAGCTAAAGGAACTAAAGAAGACATAAAACTAAAGAAGGAGGTGATTGTTTATCAAAGTAACAGCCCATAAGTCCTCCCAGCTTTGACGCAGAACACCCATTACATTTCGTAGCATGTAGAGAAAAAAGAAATCCCTAAACTGTCACAGGATACACACGGCTGCCATCAATGAGGGCTGACGTCAAAGGCAAAGTGAGCTCTTGCAGTTGGGGAGAAACAACGGCTACAGGTGGCAGATTGGCTCTTCTGGCTGTAACAGAGAAAAAAGGACAGTGACTGAGCCCGTGTTGGGTATGCGTATGTCATTACCTACATAAAATCATCTACTTTAAAAACTTGACTATTAAATGTCCTGTCAAGAAGGTGTTTATCCGACAGGCCTCAGCTATAGAAATCAATTTTTAAAGTCTGGAGTCTCTCTGAATTTCAGGAGCTTGTCTGTACATTTACATTTTTGCATGTAAGCCCAGGGTCAGTGAAGATGTACAATAATAACCAAGGGGCTCATCACAGAGTGTGAGCAGTAATTACAGGGCAGGAGCAAGGGATTACAGTTCCAGCTCCTGGGATTGACTGGATCTTATATCTCTGACTGAAGGCAACTCACCCCCAACCATGCTTCAGCTGTAATAATAACCAGGCAGATTATGCAAAAGATAGAGCCATCAGGCCCTCAGGATGGGCTGAAGTTGGTGCAGGGGAGGTTCACCTTGATTGGGTAGGTTGTGCCCTCAGCACAGGTGAGGGGGTGGTGGGGACTGAAAGCCAGCCTATGTTCTACACAACAAGCCAGGGCTGTGCCCACCCAGCCCAAGAACCACCTGTTTCTAATTGACACGAATATACTGATCAATGGGCACACATTTTCCCCTGACCTCTTGGTTGCTCAGTTGAGTGTATTTAACATGCCCCTGCTCCAAAGGTGCTGAATCATGGAGAGTGGAGGTAGAAGTTAGAGAGGATGGCGTAAATGTCAGATAGAGAGGGCTAAGTTGGATTCGCCACCTTTCAAGAGCAGCCAGCAATAACCTTGTCAAGCAAGTACTAAGTGATATATGAAAGGTAGAAAAAAAAAATAATAATCTTTGCGTGTTTTCTCTACAATGGAGCCTAATTCAAAATAGGTTTTCTCTCTCTAGATAGATAGGTAGATAAATATAGACATAGTCATCCAGGCACCAAAAATTGAGATAAACGTGTACAACAGGAGGCCATTCTCTTACACAGGCTTACCAGGCTTAACAGTGACATTGACAAATCCTTCTCCAAAGGCGTTTTCACTAGAAACAGCGACTTTGAAGACATAAAGTCCAACGGACAACTGTAACATAAAGAAAAGTTATACAATTCAACATGCAAGACATGATGGGTCCACTACCTAGAAAAAGCTAAAATGTCCCAGAAGCCACACTCCTAAAGTCAGCATAGAGAAGGGGCTCAGGAGAGAGTCTCATTTGGATGTGCCAAGAGGCTGCCACATGTTTGAAGCCTCAATTCTGGAACACTAAGGATCACCTACACAGGCCTTTAGCTTCGCTACAGAGGGCTTCACAGAGGCCTGGGTGAGATGGACCAGCAGAGGGCAGCAGTTCTCAAACATGCGTATGGAATCTTGCATTTTTACCACCTAGCTCTACTACGTTGGTTGCCAGTGGTCTGGATGCCACACTTTGAGAAACAGAGCTCCATGACATGAGGGTGATGCAAGTCTGTGTTGTACCATTAGCTGTGTGATCCCAGGAGATGAAGTCAACATAATCATCTGGTAGAAAACTAGACCTCTAGTCGCTAAGTCGGTTTATATATCCTCCTAGGCCAGAAAGAGGGCATGTTTCTTGTGAGTGCTTGTATCATAGAGCAACATGTGATAGGGTAATTTGTGACCTGGAATGGAATTATTTGCAACTCTAGAGATGTGCTGGATTGAGAATCAGAGATAAGTAAAATGTCCTTAACACTGGAAGGAGAGCAAGAGTTAGATCTGGTTTTTAACCTCAATGCAATGCTTGTGGGACAACCAGGCTCTTTTCCCCAAACTGAGATATACCAAGTAGCCCAAATAAAGAAAAGCCATCCAAAGCCTCTTAACCATCTGCCTGCCTACTTGCATGGCTGAAACTTCACTCGTTCATATCCTTCTTTTGATCTTACCATAAGAAAGATGTTTGCAGCTAGGCATGGTGGCTCACACCTGTAATCCCAGCACTTTGGGAGGCCAAGGAGGGCAGATCACTTGAGGTCAGGAATTCAAAACCAGCCTGGCCAACATGGTGAAACCCCACCTCTACTAAAAATACAAAAAAATTAGCTGGGCGTGGTGACACGCACCTGTAATCCCAGCTACTCAGGAGGCTGAGGTAGGAGAGTCACTTGAACCCAGGAGGCAGAGGTTGCAGTGAGCTATAATTGTGCTACTGCACTCCAGCCTGGGCAACAGAGCAAGACTCTCTCCAAAAAAAAAGAAAGACGTTTGGGTTCAGTAGCTAAGAAGGTATTAACTGAGTTCTATGCCGTTATGCTGTGCTGTCAGACACAACCAGTCTCCAGTTACTTACTTGAGAGAGATTAAGAGTTTGCATGTGTCCTTGTTTTATTTCACCTTGGTAGTCTATGGGGTGGCTTATTAAACTCCATTCATAGCTGTAGGTTGTTTCTGAGAGCAAAAAATAAATATGAGTAGTTATAAATTCTGAGAGGTCACTAGATAACCTGGCCAGAGGGAAGATGACAGTCTTTAAACCACCAGTGCAGATTACCTTAGATACACTCAACTCAGCTTTCTTTTTTTTTTTAACTTATATATATATTTTTTGAGTCTATTTGTTTTTATCCCCTCGCTCTTGCTATCATCTTATGAACCTGACTTTCAACTATCAGCCAAGTAAAGAATAACACGTATCTTCTTAATGTAACATTTCTTTTTTTGTTATAAAAACATACAACTTACAGGAAATTTTTTAAATGTATAAAGTTAAAAAAACAAAACCTCCCTAATTTAACTGTTAGTATTTGATGAGTTTTTTTCTAGGAGGCTACATCTGACTATCCACATCAGTTTTAACATAATATAATCCACTGTGCTTTTCCCTTTTTAACAAAAGGCAAGGACATTTCAATTCATTTGATCTGTTGTAGGGCTTTATTTAAGGACACAAAAACAGAGTATAAACATATCTATGTTAAGATGAAACTGTCTCCCAGCTTCAGATATTAGTAGTTAAAATATAAGATACCTCATCTCAAAGGATTAAAATGCAAATGCCAAATATTATCATCTCTGTGTATAAAATTTTGACCAATATGTGATGGAGAAAAAAATGAATTAAGGAACTAAGCCGAATGAGAAATAGTCAAACACCTTAAGAACAATGCATTAGACAGGCCACAGGTCCCAGGTCAAATGCTTACTGAATGGTAGAGCACTGGACAAGTAGAAGAAAGAGCATTTTGAATAAAATTTTTTGAGCAGCTAGTGTGAGGCATCCTGAGAACCTCAGAGCCATGACTGTCAACGCCACAGTATCTGCAAACAAACCTATGGGTGCACGCCACTTCCCTCTCATCCCGGTAGAATCTTCCCAGGTTCTATGGGTTATCACAGGTCAAGAACTGTACGTGGCAACCTCTCCTGATCTGCTTCCTATCATCAGAAATGTATGACTTTCCATCCTGATCAATTAAATGATACATACTGTACTTAATTTCCTAGATTCTTACTCTATTTTAAACTATTTCAACAAATTTTGATGCTTAAGGATAATCAAAGCCTTGTCTTCCACCTTTGTTTGTGATGTTGTGCAATGTTGTGAAAAAGAATCGGCATTGTAAATAGTCTGTAAGGACCTGCTAGGGAAGAACACTCCAGTTCCTAGTGGTCAGGAAGGAAGGTTAAACCCTCACCTGCAGGTGGCGCTGGCACAACAAAGGCCTTCAGTTCAACTTCATTGTCGGGTAAAGTTATAATTAGGTTATCTCCAGCCGATACCATAAGTTCTTTCACTAAAAGTTAATTAGAAATAATACATGTAATTGTATAATATAATGTGTTACATTACTGCTCTACACTAGATCTGTTTTTAGTATCCATAAATTAAAATAGCATATGTTTTTATAATAGTTCTTCGTAAGATTTTAGCTAAGGCACGTTTTTCCTCTGGCCAGAAATTGAACTGCACACTGTATTATAGTTCAGGGTTTTAAACCACAAATATGAGTTGGCACTGTGACAAAAATAATGATTCAAATTGACTGAGCAATGTATTGGGTGACAAGAGTTGCGTGAAACAGGTTTCACGCAATTGTGGATTAGGTCCATTTTCTCCCTTGCTACCAGCTTTTCTTGACTCCCTGGTGTGAGCTATTTTTAGTTATAAAATGATTAAATGTAATCCTAAGTGTTTCTGTCTCATTAGTCACACTCCACTCAGTTCTGATAGTAGCCTCATGAATTACTGCTAATGACCTTGCATTTGGAAACTTTCCAAGACAAAATCCAGTCCCTCAATATAAAAAGCCTATTTTAACTTAAGCAGCAGGAACATTAAGTCTTATCAAAAGTGCTTAGCCAAGTAAACATTCAGAACAATACTTGTTTACTTTCTCTATAACCAGATTACATTGATATATTCATAAATTCTATCGGTTTGACTCCATTGGACATTAGTTTCACTTGTAAAATATATTGTGATATGTCCAGATACTACACAGAGAAAAGCAGATTTAAAAAAAAAAGCTGGGTGCTCTCCAGAGGGATCAGCTGTGAGGAGATGTCAGACAGGTTGTTCATTTAATCCACTCCCCTCCTCTCAGTCCTCAGTCCCTCGAGTGCCTCCTAGATCAGCTGCAGAGGCTCTCAGTGGCTTTGCTGGCTCCTCTCTCGTCATTTTCACTAACTCTTTATCCTGAAAGTCAGCAACTGTAGACCTAGAAAGGACATTGACCCAAACCTATCATGTTGTAGACGGGGAAATTAAATCCTAGAAAAGCAAAGTTGTCCAAAGCTGTATGGTAATTAGCAATAGGTCCACCAATATTTAATTAATTTAAATGTATGTATTTCAACAAACACTTATATATCAGATTAAAGGGTGCTAGGCATTGCCCCAAGGGCTTTAAAATGATCAGTTCATTTAATCCTCATTACAACTGTATGCAGTAGGTTCTATTAAAATGCAAAGATCCTGGGCCAAACTCCCAGGCCAGTTTCTTTTTCCGTATACTACACAGCTTCTCTTCCACTATTATCTTTCTCTCTGTGGAAGCTCAGGATCAAAGTAAATACAAAAGTTAGAGAGAGTAATCTCCAAAATACATTGCCCACAGAAAAGCTCAGGAAACATGACCCTTAGGTCTTGCATATTCGAATAGCTTCCTTATTGGAAAATCTAATGGAAGCTTTGCAATCCTCACCATGACCTCTGCAACACATGGAGCTTTGACACGTCTTCCTTTTTGGAACTACAGGAGACCACAACATGCCACCCCAAAATATGATTTGTGAAAGGGAAATAAATCTCAGGACCCCCAAATCACTAAGCCAAAGGGAAAAGTCAAGCTGGGAACTGTGTCAGGCAAACTTGCACCTCATTGTATTCCTAAACAAATACCTACAAAGATTAAAAAAAATAAAAATAAAAATAAAGCTACATGCCTCCCTTATAATTTGCCCACAAAGAAATTCCTTGTGGGCCTCAAGATCTTTGCCCTAAAACAGTTTTGTTGAATTTCACCCTGGCAGTGTAAATCAATAGCTTATCTTTACAGGTGCAGGGGGTGGGGAAAAGGACAGAGCTCAGTCATCCCTCTGCTCACCTGAGACAAATGCATATCTAATTGCTTTCTCTGCCCTATTGTTTACGAAAAAATACAGATTCACTGAGCCAGACAAGGCATAAGTGACTATTCCTCTACCCCCTCTCACAAGTAAATTGTGTATTCAGTGAAAGACTGATCAAAGACTCAATGTGCAATATTTGTCTCTTATCTACCTGTGACCTGAAAGACCCCCTTCCAGTTGTCATGCCTTTCTGGACCGAACCAATGTACATCTCACACACACTGATTGATGTCTTATGTCTCCCTAAAATGTATAAAACCAAGGTGGCCAGGCACAGTGGCTCACACCTGTAATCCCAGTACTTTGGCAGGCTGATGCAGGTGGATCACTTGAAGTCAGAAGTTCCAGACCAGGCTGGCCAACACAGAGAAACCCCATCTCTACTAAAAATATAAAAATTAGCTGGGCATGGTAGTGGGTGTCTGTAATCCCAGCTACTTAGGAAGCTGAGGCAGGCAAATCGCCTGAACCTCGGAGGCAGAGGCTGCAGTGAGTCAAGGTCACGCCACTGCACTCCAGCCTGGCCACAAAGCAAGACGCCATCTCAAAACAAACAAAAAAAAACAAGCTGTGCCCTGACCACCTTGGGCACCTGTCATCAGGACCTCCTGAGGCTGTGTCACTGGTGAGTCCTTAACCTTGGCAAAATAAACTTTCTAAATTGATTGAGACCTGTCTCAGATACTTTTGGTTCACAGACTATAAGAAACTAGAATATGCCATTGCAACTATAACTCTATTATATAAGGATTATTTTGAGCTCTGTGTTTTTTTGTTTTTGTTTTTGTTTTTTAAAGAAACACCAGACCAAGAGGAGCTCTGAAAACAGAGTACAAGTTACTCCTTTGTAAGGGAAATTTATATCTATAAAGGAAATCTCCATTTGTAAGGGTATCTCTCCTTCTATACTAGGAAGAGAAGGGTGACTAAATTCCAAGAGATCCACATTAATAGAGAAGGTCCTGACAAATCCGCATGATAAACCTCACTCTTGCTTACTTTACTTATTCTGGGCACCTTTGGCCACTTGCCTTCCCCACAACCTTCTTTCCTTGTTTTAGTTCAAGATGCTATATAAGCCAGAGTTCCAGGCTTATATAATATAAGCTTATATAATGTAATAAACCTCTTTGAGATTTCCTCATTTCCCTGGGTATCTCCCACATGTAGGTAAGATGTAGTTATAAACTTTTTGTTTTTGTTTTTGTTTCTCTTGTGAATCTATCTTTTGTTACAGGGGCACTAGCCTAGAACTTAGAAGGGTAGATGGAAAATTATTCCCTCCTCCTCGATAGAACTCTCTCGCTCTAGCTTTCCTCTTTATCTCCCACCTCTCTGGCACAACTACCCAATCAGTTTTGCAGGCTCCTTCTGCACTTCCAGCTCCTTACATAATGATGTCCCCAAAGTTCCAGTCCTCAGGCCTCTCCTCAGCTCACCCCCCTCTCTCCCTGGCTGATCTCCCATGTTCCCCATGTCTCCAACTATCACCTCCACACTGATGACTCGCAATCCTTTATCTTCAGCCTAACCGCTCATCTAATTTTAATTCTGTATTTTCATATGTCTTAGCGTCCTCTTCCTTTACATCCTTACATTCATTCAATCACTCATCAAATCCTTGTGAATCTGCTCCCTTCCTGTCTCCTAAATCTGGTTCCTTCCCTCCATCTCTGTAATCACTCACCATAGCCTTCATGGATCTTGTTGCCTCTCGTCAACTCCACACTATTTTCTTTTTTTTCCCCTTTTTTTTTTTTTTCTTGGGATGGAGTCTTGCTCTGTCGCCCAGGCTGGAGTGCAGTGGCGCAATCTCGGCTCACTGCAAGCTCCACCTCCTGGGTTCACGCCATTCTCCTGCCTCAGCCTCCCGAGTAACTGGGACTACAGGCGCCCACCACCATGTCTGGCTAATTTTTTGTATTTTTAGTAGAGATGGGGTTTCACAGTGTTAGCCAGGATGGTCTCGATCTCCTGACCTCAGGATCCTCCCACCTCAGCCTCCCAAAGTGCTGGGATTACAGGCATGAGCCACTGCGCCCAGCCCCTTTTTATTCGTTTTTTAGTTTTTTCAAGACCGTTTTGCTCTGTTGCCCAAGCTGGAGTGCAGTGGAGTGATCTCAGCTAACTGCAACCTCTGCCTCCCAGGTTCAAGCAATTCTCCTGCCTCAACCTCCCAAGTAGCTGGGATTACAGGTGTGTGCCACCATGCCCAGCTAATTGTTTTGTATTTTCAGTAGAGATGGGGTTTCACCATGTTGGCCAGGCTGGTCTCGGACTCCTGACCTCATGATCTACTTGCCTGGGCTTCCCAAAGGGCTGGGATTACAGGTGTGAGCCACCGCGCTCATCCCACACTATTTCTTAATACAAATCTGATCATTTTGCTTTCCTGCTTAAAACCATTCAGGGAGTCTCTATACCCATCCAGTAAAGTGCAGAATCTTTAGCACAAAATACATGATCTTTCCAGTTCTTGTCCTGCTTATCAATCCAGTTCCAGCCATACTGAATTCCTTACAGTTCTTCCGAAATGTCCCAGGAGCTCTTGTACTTCTGTTTTCTTGCACAGGCAATGAATGAGAGATGACGGTTGGGAAGCACTGAGCATATTGCCTGGCACTCTGTAAGTGCTCAGTAGATACAATGATCACTATTGTTATTACACATGTTGCTCCCTCCACCTGAACAACAGACCAATGCCATCTTTGCTGGCTCACTCTATCCTAGCATCGTCTCCTCTGGAAAGGCATCCCTGGACCCTCCTAGTGGATCAGGGTGCCCCTCTGCTCCCACAGCAACCTCTCACAGCACTTACCATATTGTATCAGAACCACCTCTTTACCTGTCAGTCTCCTCTCTTGGACTATGGAGTCCCGGAGGGAAAAGACAATGTCTTATTCATCTTTTTATTCCCAGTATGCAGAACCGTTTCTGGCACATGATAGATGCTCAAAAATGTGCCTGGAGGGAATGAGTAAACTTTAAAAGTTGTCACTACCAAATTCTACAGCCTATCTTCAGTGCATTTCTTGAAATTGTATTTTTTAAGAGTTACCTGTCCTGGGAGCAGTGGTAGGAGATATGGGTAGCTCAGATGGGGTGGACCCAGAGGAGGCTGTACTAGTGGGAGGTGTTGGGATGCTGTGCTCTGTACTCCCCAGGGTGACTGTGAGCACTGGGCTTTTCTTCACGGTGGCTGAGCTGAGCTCCAGGCTTGCTGGAGGAAGACTATGGGAAGGCATTAGAACCTATGGGATCAATTACAAGGATAAATTGTTATTAAAAAAAAAAAAAAAACAGTTCAACTCTTCAAGCAACTCAGTGTTATCAACCTTTTTCATAAATTAGCTTCAGTAATGTTTGAAAAACCATGAATAATATTGCAAAACTCTGGAACTCTAGACCATCTCTCTCAAGCACTCTCTTTGCTGTCTATTAGAAATATAAGGCAACTGTGGGTTGGACAATTAGTATAGGTGAACATACACAAACACTCAAAGAATGAGAAAGTAATTATAGTAGCCCCTAAACTGATGAGTTCAATGGACTGAATGTTTCTGCCCCACACCTCCTTCCACCCCCCAAAATTCATTTGTTGAAATCCTAACCCTCAATGTGATAGTATTTGGAGGTAGGGCCTTTGGGAAGTAATTAGATTTGAGGGTAAAGCCTTCATAAATAGGATTGGTGCCCTTACACGTAGAGGAGAGAGAGCTAGCTAGTTCTCTTTCCTCCTTGTAAGGACACAGCAAAAAGATGACTACCTATAAATCACGAAACCCTCACCAAGAACCCAACCCTGCTGGCATCCTGATCTCAGACCTCCAAACTGTAGTACTCTGAGATATAAATGTCTGTTGTTTAAGCCACCCAGTTCTTGGTTGGTATGGCTAGGCTTTGTGCCCCCACCCAAATCTCATCTTGAATTATAATCCCCACGTGTCAAGGGAGAGACCAGATGGAGGTAACTGGATCATGGGAATGGTTTCCTCCATGCTGTTCTTGTGATAGTGAGTTCTCACGAGATCTGGTGGTTTTATAAGCATCTGGCATTTCCCCTGCTTGCTCTCTTACCTGCTGCCATGACTGTAAGTTCCCTGGGGCCTCCCCAGCCATGCGGAACTGTGAGTTAATTAAACCTCTTTCCTTTATTAATTAACCAGTCTTGGGTATGTCTTTATAGCAGTGTAAGAATGGACTACTACAATGGTATTTTGTTACAGCAGCACAAGCTAAGACAATCACTAAAGCAACAATTGAAGACAATCAAATAATTCAATAGTAAACAGGCTTCTAGAGTAAGTAATCTTTAATCATTTTATTCATTATGTATAACCGATAACTTAAAGTTACGGAATTAGCCAAGTTAAAGTTTTTGAACTAAACAGTTTGTGCCAAAGTCTCATATTATGATAATAAAATATCTTCTGAGACTTTTAATCAATAACTGTGTGGGGCCAGGAAAGTAAAACTCTTAGACTAAGAATATAGAAGACCCACAGGGGCCATGTGCAGTGAGAAACCCACAGAAAGAAAAGCTATAATTCAAATGTAAATCAGAGAGGGGGCCATTGGTGCTAATTGAAGAAACAACTACTCTTTTCTACAGTTGAGAAAAGTCAGTAAGGATATGGCATACATTTTGTGCTTGGAAGTGTGATCATTTATATCACTGCTAATAGTAACTGAGCCCCCACTGGGTTCCAGATATTTGCTAGGCAACTGGTGAAACCTTCTGCAACTAAATTTCCAGAACCAGGGCAAAAAAAAAAAAAAAAAAAGACGAAATGATGAAATTAAGCTGTATTGATCAAACTAAGGGAAACCAATTGACCAACATTTTAAAAATCAGGTAGTGGGTCTACTATATGATTTAAAGATGTTTAATTGAATTGAATTTTCAGGTATCCGGATTTCTGAAGTGAGTGCTACGGATTAAGCTGTTCATTGAATCTGTGCTCTCTAAGAATAGCATGAAATTCAGAATTACTGCAAACCAGGGCTGCAGTAATGTTATGTGTCCATAACATTTTATACTGGGGTCTTTGCAAATCCCATAGGATGAATTGAATTGAATTTTTTTTTTTTTTTTTTTTAGTTTTATCAAGTCCTGAAAAATTATTGCCAAGTTGAAATAGAGAATGAAGGTAGACAGTGGTCAAAGAAATTAAGGCACTTTGGGCCAAGGTCACTAAGCCAGAAATGGCTGAAGGGGAAGAAAACCCTTATCCTGCTCTTCTCTAAAACATTCACTTTTCCACCATGCTGCCTCTCCAGGCTGGAATCACATGCCGATTCTTCCCTTCACTATTCAGAAATCCACCCACAACCTCCAGCACAAAACTCCTCACTAAGTCATCAGGACACAAGGTCCTCTCTGACAAACCCCTCCAAAGAAAAATGAATCCTCTATGGGAAGCCATGAGCACGGCATCACCCATTTCAGCCTTCAAGTTAACCTGGGCCTCATCAGTAAAAGTTTCAAATGGCTCTTGTTTCTATGTTCTCTACTCATTTATTTTAAAACGACTTGTTTTAGGTGATTTCTCTAGTCTTGTCCACTGGAAAACACAGTTGCAAAAAAATGTCCTTTATCCTCTACAAATCTGATCTTGATTTATTTTTCCTAGATGTCCTATTCGACAGCACTATTTTATGCATAGTAACTGTTATGAATATTCATGTACAAGTTTCTATATGGACATGTTTTCTTTCTCTTGTGTAAATACCCAAAAGTGGAATTCCTGGGTCACATGGTAACTCTGCATTTAACATTTTGAGGAAATGCAAGACTGTCTTCCAAAACAGCTACACTGGGGCCAGCCATAATTGTTCACACCTATAATCCCAGCATTTTAGGAGGCCAAAGCGGGAGGATTCTTTAAGCCCAGGAGTTTGAGACCAGGCTGGGCAACAGGGTGAGACTCCATCTCTACAAAAATAAAAATAAAAAAATTAGCTGGGCATTGTGGTCCCAGCTACTCCGGAGGCTGAGGTGACAGAATCACTGGAGCACAGCAGTTTAAGTCTGCAGTAAGCCATGCTGAACTGTGGCATTTTGACCTGGGTGCGGAACAAGACCCTGTCTCTCAAAAAACAAAAAACAAAAACAAACCAAAGTGGCTGCAACATCTCACATTCCCACCAGCAGTGTATGAGAGTTCCAATTTCTCTGCATTCTTACTAACACTTATTATCTGTTTTAAGTTTTTATTCTAGCCATCTAGTAGATGTGAAGTGGTATCTCATTGTGGTTTTGACTTGCATTTCCCTAAAGATTAATGGTGCTAAGCATCTTTTCATGTGCTTCTTGGCCATTCTTCTACGATCTTTGGAGAAATTCTATTCAGATCCTTTGCCCATGTTTGAGTTGGGTAGTCTTTTTATTAGTAAGTTGTAAGAGTTATTTATATATTCAGTATACAATATTTATGGTGTATTTATCCCATTTTATGGTATATTTATTCCCTCAAGAAAGCTTTACTTTTTTGATGTCGTCATCTGAAATACAAAAGTTTCTACTTTTGATTAATTCAAATTTATCATTTTTCTATTTTATTGCTATGCTTTTGATGTACTAAGAAATAATTGCCTAGCCCAAGTTTACAAAGATTTATGCAGAGTTTTCTTCCATATCTTTTATAGTTTTAACTCATATATTGAGATCGTTGGTCCATTTTGAGTTAATTTTCTAAAAATAAGGTATGAGATAGGGGTCTAAATTCATTCTTTTGCATGTAAATATCCAGTTGTCCTAACACCATTTGTTGAAAATACTATTCTTTCCCCACTGAATTTTCTAGATACCTTTACCTAATTGAACTATTTTACATATTTTTTTGGTGAGAGTAGAGATCTTAGTTTCTGTCATCAATTCCAAACTTTGCACTGCATCAGAATGAAATAATGTTTCTTTTCTTTTTGTTTTAAGAGATGGGTTCTCACTGTGTTGCCCAGGCTGGTCTCTAACATGTAGGCTCAAGCAATTCTCCTACCTCCACCTCCCAAGTAATTGGGATAACAGTTGTGCACAGTGTATTGGGCTTGAGTAAATGATTTCTTATTATGCTATGCATCTAATTTTTATGAACAGTTATTCAGAAATTGTCTACAAATCTAATGTACTTTAGAGGAAACTTTGTATTTCAGTGGAAAGCAGCATGTTATCGGTGGGGCAAGGTGGCTCACATATGTAATCCTAGCATTTTGGGAGGCCAAGGCAGGCAGATCGCTTGAGCTCAGGAGTTTGAGACCAACCTGGGCAACATGGCAAAATCCCATCTCTACCAAAAATATAAAAATCAGCCGGGTATGGCAGCACGTGCCCGTAGTCCCAGCTACCTTGTGGGGCTGAGTTGGGAGGACTGCTTGAGCCCAGGAGGTCGAGGCTGCAGTGAGCTGAGATGATGCCGCTCCACTTCAGCCTGGGTGACAAAGTAAGACCCTGTCTCAAAAAATTAAAAGAAGATAAAAATAAATAAAAAACATTATCTACTGGATACCCCTCCAGGTTATCCGACTCTAGTCGTTCTTGTATTTGAGCTATTTTTACAACTCTATAAGTTATAGGTTATAAAAATGATAAAAATGTAAAATAATTATTGTCTATAGACATGTAAATTCTCCTGTCTGCTAGAGTTTCAACTGAACTCGCTCCTTTCCTCACTGGAAACCCAGTTTTGCCTCTATTTGCACACTCATTTCAATATATTTTTTAACCTATGAATGTGCCTCTTCTTCAAGTTTTCTTGTAGGATAATTATAATCTAGTTCCTTCAGTGATTAATTAGTAGAATAAAATCTCTAACACATGTTCATTTTATATCTAAACAATTCACAATTTCACCTATTTGAATAGTTATCTTTTAACAAAACCAACCTCAAAGAACTAATGAGCCAAAAGATTTTTAATAGAGCTTAATTTCAGAGAGTTCCATCTGTATAAACCAGGAAGTAAATGACTTGGCAATATAAAAGAGGGTATTATATTAACATTTACTGATATGAATAAAGAACATGGTTAATCTCTAATACTTTCAGATTACTTTTAATTATTTTATTTAAAATTGAAATTGAAAGTTTTTTTAGGACAGGCACAGTGGCTCACGCCTATAATCCCAGCACTTTGGGAGGCAGAGGCAGGTGGATCATGAGGTCAGGAATTCAAAACCAGCCTGACCAATATGATGAAACCCCATCTCTACTAAAAATACAAAAATTAGCCGGGCGTGGCAGCAGGTGCCTGTAATCTCAGCTACTCAGGAAGCTGAGGCAGGAGAATCACTTGAACCTGGGCAGCAGAAGTTGCAGTAAGCCGAGACCAGCCACTGCACTCCAGCCTGGGTGACAGAGTGAGACTCTGTCTCAAAAAAAAAAAAAAAAAAAAAAAAGGAAGTTTTTTCATTTTAATCCAATTATAAGTATAGAAAAATATAGACACTTCAAAATTCAGAAAAATATAAGCAGAAAAAAACCTTCTGATTAAATCTTGGCTGGGCACGGTGGCTCACGCCTGTAATCTCAACACTTTGGGAGGCCAAGGCAGGTGTATCATTTGAGGTCAGGAGTTCGAGGCCATCTTGGCCAACATAGTGAAAATCCTTCGCTACTAAAAAATACAAAAATTAGCCAGGCATGGTGTTGCACACCTGTAGTCCCAGCTACCTGGAAGGCTGAGGCAGAAGAATCACTTGAACCTGGGAGGCGGAGGTTGCAGTGAGCCGAGATCGTGCCACTGCACTCCAGCCTGGGTGACAGAGCAAGATTCTGTCTCAAAAAAAAAAAAAAAAAACACTTAAAAATGACTTCTAGACCTTTTTAAACATTTTTCATGGTTGAGATTATAATGTATAGTCAATTCAATCCAGCATTCCTAACTTAAAAGCACTGGAATTTAAGAAAGGAAACCTTCTCCTTTAAAAAATTTTTAAAGTACTCCCAGCTTTTTTTTTTTTTTTTTTTTTTTTACTTTATTTGACCTATACTCAGCTTCCTCTGATCAACATGCTCATCACATTCTCAAGTCCTGACCAGTTTCCAAACAAGCAGCCTTCGAGCTCTCCAACTACCCTCTCCTCACCACACAGTTCTCATTGTCTGTCTCCCAGACCTCCTGCCATTAACACTCAGCTTTCCACCTGCTTCTGAAATCGCTCCACTGCAGTGACCCTCATTCTTTTTTCACCTGAGCTTTTTCATGGAACATTTTATGATGCTTAAGTTCTCTCCTTCATATCTCTCTCATCCTATCCAACTGTTCATGATGCCACGTGGAGTTTCTAGCAGCCAAAGCACCTGTTCAGTCTTGAAGAAACCTACCAGGGTGGATTTTCAAAGCCCCTGGGTATATGCGCTGGCTCCAGGGACTTCTATACCATCTCCCTTTGCTTTAAATATTGCTAGAGTCTCTGGGCGCGGTATCTCACACCTGTAATCCCAGCACTTTGGGAGGCCAAGGCAGGTGGATCATGAGGTCAGGAGATCTAGACCATCCTGGCTAACATGGTAAAACCCCGTCTCTACTAAAAATACAAAAATATTAGCTGGGCATGGTGGTGGGCACCTGTAGTCCCAGCTACTCCGGCAGCTGAGGCAGAAGAATGGTGTGAACCCGGAAGGTGGAGCTTGCAGTGAGCTGAGATCACACCACTGCACTCCAGCCTGGGCTACAGAGTGAGACTCTGTCTCAAAAAAACAAAAAAAAAATCGCTAGAGGCATTTCTAGGGAGAAGGGCTTAAGTCTTCACGAGCTGGCTGACTCGTGAAGGCAGAACTATTTATTCTTTTTAACAGCCTGGCCATGGAGGCATAGCAAAGGAACGAGATGTTCTGCTTCCTAGAAATCTCTGAGAGACAGTCATCTTTCCCGCCACCACCTGAGACAGGTGCCCTTAGGAGGAACCTCCTTAGGCTCACACAGCCTGAATGAGTCCCTGGCTCCTGAAATTCAGCCCCACCTGCGTTCTGCCCCACTCAGCCTGTCCCACCCCCAATCACATCCTGAACACACCCACCTCTTTTCCAGAGCTGTTGCTGGATTGTTCCTGGAGCTGAGAAGCCTTTTCTTTCTCCAACAGCTCTCCTGAAGATAGGGTAGTCGGCAAGGGAAGCAACACACTTCTCTCAGGGAGTTTTGGGGCAGGGGTTGAAGCTGACTCATTCAGGTAATGGAGCTCAGGGTCCTGCTGTGTCTCCACTGGCACCTCAGGGCTGTCTCCAACAGAGGAGTTGAAGCCCCCCTCGCTGCCTGGCAGTAGGCCCCAGTCCATGTACTCGGCACTCCCTCTGGGCTCCTGCTTGCCATTGGGTTGCAAGAGGTCCTTCTCCAGCTCCCGGTAGTCATCTGAGTACTCAGACATCTCCCCTAGTCCCCAATCTTTGCCTAGAAAGGGTAAGTCCTTTCTGATATCCTCAGGTGAGTCCCCCCAGATCCCCGAGGGGGAGCCCCTGTTCAGCATCATGTCCCCATAGTCCAGCAGCTGTGCAGGCCTCTGAACAGGCCTGAGCACAAAAGTGAGATAAGACCTGATGGGGCCCATCTTCTTGGGCTCACAGTTCTCTTTGTGGGGGCAGCTCACCAGGTAGCAGTGGCCCTCGAACCACCAGGCCAGGTCACAGCTGGACAGGTCACAGCAAGCGGCTGTGCAGTCTACGACAGGGAAGGTGTGAGACACCCGCATGATTCTGGTGGTTTCCAAGTTAGGTGAAATGACTGCATTGGAATATGTCCTCCCCTCGCTGCACTGCTTACAGGCACAACCTGTAAACAAAGTAGTTTCTAATGAAGGAGAAAGGCATATACAGGGAAGCACCTCCAGCTTAAGAAACCAGGAAAAGGGAGTCTTCTCAATCCCTGGCCAGTCTGGCAAGCAAATAAACAATCGGCATTTTCCACAGAAAGATCACAGCAATCCATCAAACCATCCATCCATACATTCATTCTCCTACCTTCCCACCCACTCATTCATCTCCCATCCACTTATCCTTCCATTCATCCACCCATCCTTTCCGCCTTTCTACCCATCTGTCTATCCATCCTTTCACCCACACACCCATCCATCTACCCTTCTACTTTTCCATCCATCTATCCATGCATCCATCCTCCCATCCATCCATCCATCTTTCCATTCTTCTACCTTTCCACTCACCCATCCATCACTCCATCCCTCCACCCATCCACCCACTCATCCATCCAGATTCTTACACCTATCCATGCACTCTTCCATCCATTTGTTCTTTTTTCATATAGTTTCACTCCACTTACTTAACAGAAA